TAATTTTTGAAAAGTGAACATATTTCTATAATCTCATCCAGGATAATAGGATCTTTCCTCTTTCTTCGTGAACTACCTTAAATGTGCTTGCGCAATTGAAAGCTAGAATTTATACAAAACAAATTTTGTTAATTTTCCGAATGAGGTCGAAGTTTTATTTTTTTCCTTCTTGAATATTTATCTCTTTCACTTGGTAGAAAAATTCAACATCAGCAGATATTTCCGATGGTTAGCGAGATATCGTTCTTTCATGACAAAAAGCCAGCATTCCAAAGTCAGATGCTCAGACAACGGCATTACATTGTAATTCGCATGACTGTTCGAGAAATTTGCGCAGTTGTACGGAATGTATGGCTCAGTTCATAAATCAGGTTCGAATGTCTTATGAGTGGGCCACATATTTTGCAAGGCTAACAACAATATGAAGCAATCACTGTTGACGTTACGATTCTATACTAATTGATTTTTTGTATTCTATGAAGCTGGTTTGAAGACATCGTGTTTTCGTATTGTCTCACAGTATCGTAGCGCCCTAAAGCTCATGTTTGCCTTAGCTCCTATGTTTCAGGTGCCACTAAAGTGCAATAGATTTCTCAACCATTTTTCTTATCAAAATTGTACTTTCACAGTCGGACTCTCTTATCTGAGCGATAATGCTGAGTGTACTCTCAGAACATATTTGTAATAACGATTTTTACTTTATAAGTGAACAATTTTTTTATTTTTCATACCCTATAGGTAGATAAGATTTTGAAGAAAAGTTTGTTCACGCTTGGCAAAAGCAAAGTGCAGAATGTCTCAGATGTTATATCAAATGTTTGACTGCTAAGAACCCTCCTGTACCATCAGCTTTCGCGAACATAGAGCTGGCTTGAACTCAGATCAGTAGTACAAGCAAATCACTATTTGTTACTGGTGCAGGATTATGATGAGAACATTGAAACACACAAGAAGGTTTTGCGTCAACGAGAGCCAAAACTTGTCCCCCTCCCCTCGCTTTCCTGAAATGAACCCAAAGTTGGAAGCCTTGTAATCAGACTATTTGGCACTGGCTATTCTATATGCGAGCTTGTTGCCTTAACGCAATCTCTATCACAAAAGTTCACAACTTATCAAAAATCTGACTATACTATCCAAATCCTACTAACATGTGCAGAGTTAGATTCAGTGGGTCTAAACATCCCAGTTTGAAAATTCTCTAAAATGATGGCTGACTCTCTTTAACATTGTGCGAAGTTTCTACGGTAACACCACGGTGACGAAAATAGGCGGGTGTTTTGTACTGTAAATCTAAGTTGAAGCCAGCCTACCATATACCGTATAGAGATCCGAAAGTTGCTGGTGAGAGTTGTTAACGATCAACATTTACAATTTTTTACGCCCTGTATGTTGGTCTAATGAAGAATAACATTTTCAACTAGTTGCTCAGTAGTGTAGTGTTTGTGCGGTGATGACAACGTTTTCGCGTAAAAATTGCTTCAAAGCGCTATATTTTCAAGAGAAATGAATTTACGTACATGTGTTTTGACAACGCAGAATGCTTTACTAGTCTTTAGATCTGTTTATATAGTTAGAAACATCAGTCAAGGGTTTTCAAAACTTTCAGCAGATTACGATTAAATTCTGAAATTGGTCCCTTTGAATAAGGCTTTTTTTAGTAAAAGGTACAAAACAGAAAGTTTCCTGACCCTGTGCATGTCGCGACCGCAGTTGCATGTTGATACATGGAGACGAAAATTCAATAAGTAAATCCTGACGAAAAGCAAAAACGATACACACACACTCTCTCTCACCCGTGAGCTGATCGGAAGCGGAATTTCAAAAAGCAATCAGAAAAAGCTGCAGTTGTGACTCAGTACGTCAAATGCTGACATGCTTCGCACAGTCCACTGCACTTTAGTCAGCTACAGTTTGTGTCATCAATCACCTTGCCTGTGCCACAACTCGTGTAAAGCCTTCTTGTACTAATAATAAGCATGAATTTGCATCTGTTAGGGTGTCTCATAATTTTTGACCGTTTTAATTACATCGTCTTTTTTGTATCTTTCCTTCAACTGATGTGGCTTAAGTAATCATTCGACAGAGCAAAGCAAGTTCTACCAGTTGGCTGTCAACATTGTACCCAATTCGTATTTAACTTGAAGTTTCAAGCCGAAATATGATAACAGTCAAAAACGAACTTTTGAAAAATCGTATCTCGGCCCCAAAAAATCTTGAAAATTTCCTATTTATCCTAGCACATGCTTGACACATCGAACATCCAGTTGTATTTTTTTATTTACACTTTCGTATTTTTTCCATGGCTACAAAGAAAGAAAAAATGAATGCAGTAAAATGGCAAACTCCGCCCCTAGAAGTCCTGAGCTCCTTCCACACGCGTGATCATATAGCTCATACATCAGAAGTACGACCATGTATTTGTACCCTTTATAGGTGCCCCAGTTCTTGAGAAATGTTGACGTACAAGGTGTCCCATAAAAATGTGCCTACTGTTTGATTGTTAATAACTCTCTTGTAATGAAGTGTTTCGAGAAGCTTCAAGTACTGTTTTGTAGAGGGAGGTTGAACTTAGACTTACAGTATGGAGCGAAACATCTATCGCTTTTCATTACTGTAGGATTACGGAAAGAAATTCCAGCATATGGAACCAATGTGAAAATACCACCTAACAAAATTTCCTTCAAAAAATCTTAAAAATCGTGTGCTAAGGTTTTCGCGCATGCTGATTCCAGCTAACAACTTTTTACGAGTGTTTTCAGCTTTTTTGGCGGTGTAATTACATTTCTGACAAATGCTGGGTATTGAGTTATTACAATTTACCGGGGATAACTTTGGAAAGAAGCGTCACAGTAAAAGGAGAATTTCAAATTTGAAATCAGCGGCTCCCATTACCGTGGTATGAGAGTTTTTGACTTGTCTGATTTTGTTCCAAGGCAGAATATGGCCTCCAATGGCCTGAAATCTTTGTCGAAGTTCGTACCGTAATCCTACAGTAATGGAAAGAGATAGATGATTCGCTCCATACTTTGGATCTATGTAACTTTAACCTCACTCTACAAAACGGTACCTAAAGCTTCTCGAAACACTTCATTACAAGACAGTTATTTACAATCAAACAGTAGGCACATTTTTGGGACACCCTGTATAGGGTAAAAACGGTAAAAAATTATAGGACGCCCTGATAATTACTCAGACATTTACATCGGTAAGTTCGCGGCTTTAAAGCGTGTTACATGGAGCGCCGCGGCCCCTGAACTTTGAGCTCCGCACGCCGCGGCCCATGTATATTTTACCGGAAACGCCGCGGCCAAAGTTGAAACTGGGAATAATTATCGGGAGGCTCGCGGCCCAACCACCTCACTCGGCGGGCCGCGGGCCTTCTCAAAGGCCGCACTTCTTACACACTGTAGGATAAGGCGCAACTCGCGTGAGGTACGCCGCAGCGATGGGGCTACCCTAAGTGCCATGAACTTGGATATCACTCCTCGGATTTGGTCATGTATAACAGAATCGAGTTCTCATGATCATGAAATAAGCTCCAGTAGTCGGTTGAGTGTTATCGATATTCATAGAGCGAGCAGAGATTGCTATCAACCTATATGTTGATAGCAATCTCTGCTCGCTCTATAAATATTCGCATTCTTCGAGATGTGAAATGATGGAAAGCAACCTTTCAAGAGTGAAAAAGTTGACCCAGATAAGTTCGTTGAAAACCCAAATAGAACATTCTACAGAGAATTACTTATTCCGCCCGGGATACTACAAGGTTACACTCCAATTTTCTGCGCGTCGTTACAACATATTCTAAGAGTCGGTCAAATCAGAACTTAGCTTTCACAAATCAGCTGCTGATATTTTCCTTTCACCTTGTATAAAGAGGCCGCGAATTGCGGTACCATTCCCTCTTGATAAACAGTTGTTGTCCCAAAAAATATCAAATTTTCAATCGTTAATAACTCCCTTGTCTGAGCAGCTTTCGCGGATCCTCAGATACGATTTATTAGAACCGACTCCGACTTCCATTCACAATATCGGACGAGACACTAAAACTTCGTTCCATTATTGTAGGAATATCGTAAAAATTTTCGAAAGTGTTTTGCACTAGAGCAAGTATTGCCTTAAAAACTGTCCAAAAGAGCGGAAATATTATTATTGGAGAATTGGCGGTTGCTTACTTCAGACGTAGGCTCCGTTTTGAAAACTGAGTTTATCCGAAAATCCGCGAAAGCTGTTCAATTACTTACATAATTTTGGATACCCTGATGTGTGCCAGTTCTACATTCCTGATTTTCTCATCTTTTACCAAGTCACTCGGTCTTTTGGCAAATCGCCCAAATAGTCTATGTAGTTCAATGATTCTAGCAGTAGCACGAGACGATCATATAAAATCAAGTCAAAGCGATAAGACGATACTTTTGAGAGTCTAGAATTTATTAGGAAATTTCTTGATCAAGTCCTTCCTTTATGATACTAGCAAGGTCACGCGACCATTGTGACCGATTGCAAACCTTCGCAAACGCACACAGTGGAGACAAAAAAGGCGCTGGGCACATCTTTCGTCATTTTTTTTTTGGAGCAATGAAAATTATGCTGTTGAAATCGCGCTCTCTTCGGTTTTGGAGGATATAGCTCTGCAAATAATTTTGAAGCCATGTCAACGAAATGTATGTACATTAGCAGGCTCTTCAATGATATGCACGAAAAGTTGCAATGTTTTTGACATGACCGCTCGATCACGGCGTTTTCTCAGCTGATCTGATAGCGTGTAACCCAGTGCTGACCATCAGAGCGTGTCTGCACTATTGGTGAATAGCCTTTTGTGCTCACTACGACTTGACTCTCGACCATTTTCATACGAACTTTTGCTCTCTTCGAATCTCTTTCGTTCCCACTGAGACCAGTTTCTCATGCAGTAGCATCCGGTTTCTCATGTGAGGCTGTCCAGCGCCTGGACAGTTCTCGTTTTCACTCGTACGTTCTGTTATTCACTGCTTGATCGTTCGCTGCAAACAATCTCTGTCCCCTCTCATGTGCTTCAGTCAATATGTACACTATTTCAATTACACGGCCCGATTTAGCCCCAGAAGCTTTCGATTATTCGATTCGATCACTCACTCATACTGGCGCTTCTCTGGCCAAAACAACTCGCATTGTCATTAGTTTAACGAAGGAATGTAGCACTGCAACACAACACTCTACTGTTTACTCACAATAAGAAAATGGTAAGCGTTTTTCTTCAATAAACTTTGTCTGAATTTTCTTCTTCACCACCACGTCGTGTGATCTTCGTTATGGATTCAGTCTCTCTGTTCATTTTCAATTCTGATGATAATGTTCCGCCCGCGTCATTGTTTGCATCGATTGATTGCGCCGATAACATGATTGAATAGACCGCGTGCTCCCTGAAAATAGTTCTACGTGGAGTTTTTTGGTTCTATAATTAGCACAAAGGGAATCAAACGTTTTCCTGTGACAAGGAGCGATCACATTAAGCAAAGCAGTGTATACAGATGATGAAATCTTGAAGGTAGCCTGTAGCTGATGCGAACTCTGACGCTCTTTTCTCGTTTTTCCTCTAGTACCAAGAAAAAACAATTTAATTTTTTGAAGCGATAGCAAATGTATAAAATGCTTGGATAATCTAGTCTATTCTAATCTCCGTTTCGCTCTTGATCACATAAAGATTGATCTTCGCTTTGATAATTCGTTTGGTTTACACCCCTGAAATGGGATTAGAATTTGTATGTTAAGTATCAAGCTAAAAAAGGCATTGGCAGGAATGATAATAATTGATAGTTAGTTATGCTATCAAATTTTTTGCTCATCGTCCAAGCCCAAAAAATATCGTTGTCTGACAAAAAAATTTTTTTTTAGGTAGCCTCGAAATTTTGCTGTTGTTGTTTTGATGTAGGACCAACAATTTATAGAAAGTAGTCCATGATGAAAAGTTGATAGCTTTGTTGCGTGTTTCAAACTCCTCTTTCTTACTGCTTCATTTTCAGGGTGATAATATGTACAATTATTTGATCACTGAGACACTTAATACTTCATGTTCGCATAGCCCAAATTCGACTATCTGAAAAGGGACGGTATCGTATACCAAACTTTTTTGAAGATGAGTGTCAGATAGAACAAGTTCATACTACGTACTTCTTGCTTGGAATTTGTGCAAGTCATAAATGAGGGTTGTATTTCGGTCATTAGTCTAGTGTTTGTACATGGTATCCCCTCAATGAAGCTGTTAGAAAGGGGAGAAAAACACTTTTCGAACGCGAACTAATTTTAGGTGATCACCTTTGATGATTTGTTGGCCTTTCAAAAGGCGGACAAAAGTTTCTTGAGAAGCTAAACGGGGTGTCCCAAAGTACTATATGTAATGTATGATCGTTGATATCTTTCCTTCCCCTAGTCTTTGACTTCGGGCACCACAGTGTAGAGCAGTGACGTACTTAGGGGGGGGGGGGCGGGGGGGGGGGGGGGCGCGCCCCAGCCTCTTTAAATAGGGTATTCATATTTTGAAAACACTGAGGGAAGATATCACGGCGTATTTCGAATAACTTTCGAACTAAGCTCAGCAGTAAGGTCTTACATTTTGCGTCAGGAAACCTTGGTGTAACCTTGGTGCTCGGTTCTCTTTCCTGAGGTGATATATAACCCTCAGTGCTCGAATTCTCCTTGAGTGATCTACCGTAATTCTATGGTATCAAAAAGCGATAGGTAATTCTTTCATCATACTGCAATCTAACTTAAAGCCGGCTCTACAGAATAGTACCTAAATCTCGATAGAAGACTGTGATGGAATGAGACAGAAACGTTTCAAAAGTGTACTCGTACTTTTGGGACATCCTGTAAAATCTCATATCGATTGTTCAAATTGTTTCAAGTGATCGGACGTGAATTCAGAAAAATCTGAGGTTGTCCCCTTGCTAAGTCCGAATTACACTTGCTAAGTCCGAATTACAATCTTCAAATATTCTTTATCATGCCAGTCATACGAACTGGCTATGTCGATAATTGGAACGGACAACTGATCAAATAAAAGTATTAAAATAATGGCGTTACTTGACTTTGATCAGTAATGAGCTTTAGAAACTCAGATGAAGCTATTTGCGGTAACAGCAATAATATATTGGAATATACATGTGGTGACATATGGTTGGCTTCTGTATCAATGAAAACGATATTTCTGACAATCAAAGCTTTGAACGATAATGTACAAGGTGACCAAATAAGCTTGACTTATGTCTGCAATGTATTGATATTAAGGATATTGGCTTAGTTACTAGATTATTATTTGATTTGTTATGTTAGCCTTCTTCTTTTTTCGGCAATCCCAACTAGACATGCAAATCAAGGTCGAAAATCGTTCCAAAGCCAGAAAAAAGACGAAATTCAGTGACATGGATGCTAGACAGTCCATTCCGCAACAAGGAACGTCTGGTGATTTTCACAATAAATCATCAATCTGTCTGAGTACACAACGATCTTTTCCGACCACCCCTGGCTGATCGCGTGAACCGGTTTTGAAGAAGAGGAAATGAAGATAGCGTGGGAACATGAAACGTATTGGTGGACAGAAATGACAAAATCGCTCTATTATCGCTTTATTTTCTTATTTTTGTTCTTTGCAAAGTTCTGTTGTTGAAACCATCTGCTCCAACTTCCATGTTTCCTAACATAATGTCCAAATTTTTTTTCAAATGATCAGAACTTGACGGACATTATGATTGACGCCAGTGCAGGTTGGATATCGAATTTTTATCCAACATTCCTGCATATTTTTAGCACTGTCATCTAAAATTTGCAACAGGGAGGAACCTTCCATGTACATGTTTCAGAACTCAATTGTTATCAGGCATCCGTCTGAGGTTGTTTCAAAAGATTTGTGCATTTCTTTGATCGGTCACCGTAACTCATGAAACACAGAGCGGCAGGCGATTTATCATCGCATCATTTTTTAATAATTATGTTTTGTGTGATTTATGTAGCCGTTGCAACTTTCTGCCATAGCTCTTCCAGCAGACTGACAAAACCACCCAAAATTTTTTTGATATTTGAATGTTTTCATTCTGTCTTTTTGGGGAAGAGCTGTTAGCTATTAACATATAGAATGTACTTTTACCACCTTCCGATTGTTTCAGTTTTTTAAAAAGTTTTTGAAGTTTTCAGTAATCATTGATGTAAGAAGCGCTTTAGCCCGATAATACATGTAGCCCGCTCATACCAAAATCCAAAATCAAGTCTTCGAATCGAAAAGAAATCAGTACCCTGCACGAATTATGATCAGTAATAATTGAGGCTCAAGTCGCTAAAACTCCAGAAGCTTCCAGGTTCTCTGGAAGTTTTGCGAGTCAGGGAAATTTAAGCAGGAAGAATGACGTTGAAGAATCTTGCTAGTTATCCGCAAGATTTTGAAAAATTTCAGTTAGCGAGCGTGATCACCGAAAGCAGAAAAGTTAGCTTATCGGATACATATTCAGATCTTTTTGGTTTTCAATGTGCAAGATTTTATAATCGCTGAGAAAAGGAAGAAAACTTTGGGCACAACCTAAACGAAGTCTCATTATTGATAATGATCACATAGCAAGTGATTGCTATGTGATGAAAACTTTTAACTCTTTGGTCTCTCCCATTGTATTGTGCATATAAGCGATTCACCTAGAATTGCGAACACGAACAGCCGCAATTTGAGTAAACATTACTTTGTGTAAGTTACGGCGGCCCCTTCGTTCTACTACTTTGCCGACTGTGATCAGGTACTGTATGATAGGGCACAGTTTCGCTTAGAATTCATCGATAATGGGTAAAATTCAGGAATTTAAGCCTCATGTGTATACAAATATGTGATATATTTGCATTGAATATGTGTTCGCGTAATGCGTCAGAATTTTTTCCCAGTACCTGAATAAATCCTCGTTAGATACCTCTCGTAACAATGAGGATCTGAACTTTTTGTTGGATGTTTATCGAGTGGTTGAGTGGTAAATGGTTCCTTGTATATGTACTTTTAACTTACCTAATCATTTGTCTAGAACTTTTGTTCGAAAAGTAAGGGGTCAAGTCCGTTTGCCAAGCTCTTCCTTTCAAGGTCAATAGAAGTACGAGTTTTTTTACAATATCAAAACAATAAAAATTGCAAAGTTGAGTGAAACGATTACCAACTATCTTATTACTGAGAGAATTCCTGTAATTTCAGAGTTTCATCTACGAAGAGAATATCGAGCGGAGGCCGCTCCTCGCTGACGCCAATTCAGGTATACTGAATCAATGTAGAATTGTAGATTTTTGTAACAATTTTGACCAGTTTCGCTTTAATTTAGACTCATACCAGTCACTGCTCGACGACGGTGAGATGGGTCACGATCGGCACGTGCTCAAAGTTCACACAGGAGATGAATTTCTGGAGCTGTACGCCTATAGATTTGTAAAAGCCAAAACGGTTAGTGACTCTTATCTTGTCAGCTTTTATTCACTGACAATTATCGCGGCTACGTGTGAGAATGAATTCGTTTGGGCATATAGGGGATTATGTATGGTTGGCCGATCATTTACGTTACACCGTTTTAATTCCGTTTCGTACCTCTGGTATGACAGCGTTTACCCCACAGGTATGATTTATGCCGTAAATGCACAAGCAGCCAACAAATTCAAAACAATGTAGGCATACCTAGCTTTTTCAATCAAATTTTTTCCTCTGCCCTCCTTGTGCTTTTTCTCTTTTACAATTTTTGGAATCATAGGCACCTCTCCTGCAGCCTTACGCCTCTTTATTTTTAGAAGTGATAGATGAAAAACAACAAATAGTACGCTTTAAAAATTCCTCTTCCTTGTACTATGTGCAAGAATTGATTTAGAAAGCTTAGAAAACTTTTTTTTTTAATTTCCGTAAGAAATTTTTCTCGAAAGTGCGAGAAGTGCGAAGTTGCGTTTTCCGCCAATTCAATATAATGCATTCAGCTGTAAGCAAGCCAAGATTTTACAATGGGAAGCACTCTCAAGTGATCTCACTTTCTTGCGCCATTTCGTCGTAAAAATAGTTTTTCCTAAAAGATTCACCAGCTAGATAATTTTCAGTCAATGTATCTTTCTACTGCTATCAAAGTTTTGTACAATTTTTCGCAATCCCATGCATACGTCCAAAACGACCCTAATGGTATTTCAGCCGTTCTGTTTGATCTCGTTCTCATTGTATTGAATAAAAAGCATTAGATCCTGAATATCAGCGGCCTCAAAATTCCTATTCAATTTCTTTGACTGAGCAGAGTTTCTACTTTCATTACAGCCCTCTTACTCTGTTTTTTTTTTCTTTGGTGTCACTGCAAACATTGCATAGTATTCTTTCCTCCGCTGTTCTCGATCTCTGAACAGGCTCGAATTACCTTTGACTAAGGATTCGATGAACACTTTTTGATTCACTCCAACAAAGACCTTTTTAATGTAGTGCGTTGTTGGTGGCATACAGACATCATTCAACATTTGGTAGAGTATCTACATTTAAAAGAAATATTAGCGTAACGCGAACGGTAGCTATTCACAAGTGACTTTTTCTCAATGATTTGGCAAAGTCAAAATGCTGTAGTTGTGTTTGCAGATGGTTTTTTTTTTGAGAAAAAAGTGTTTATGATCATTGTACTCAAACTATAAATTCGAAGAAATGACATTTTATCAAAAAGCAAGAGATTCTGCTTTGTAACGTTGACTTCAAGAAGCAGTCACGCTATGTGCAATCCTACATAATGCTTGAAAAATTTCATTTATTGCATAAGTAGGTATTTGCAGAAGAGCCTTTTGATTTCTTTCAGTACTCCCATTGATTTTGATATGTGAGAGCATTGATATCCTTCGCAAAAAGTTCCACCTAAAATAATACTGTAATTTGATATATTTTTCTGTGTCGTCTCTTTGAGCAGCAACCAAGATGTTATAACTTTTTATTCAACCGGCCAAAGTTCCGGCTTTTTCGCCTTCGTCAGAGCCTGGAAAATCGAATGTATACGTGACACATCCACCCAGACGCCAAAATCAAAGCCAAGCAAGATATCATTCAATCCGTGACCAGTACGAAAGCCACGATAGATCAACGGATTGCCAGAACTCACCTTAAGGGCCGGGCATACTTCACGTGATTCCAGTCGCGACGCGATTTGGCAATATTCCAACTGTCCATAACTCACCGTAAGCACATTTTAAATGTACAGAAGATAGGGCCTTTTATCAATCCACTCAAAGGCACGGTCCACCCAAATCCTCGACTTCCGTGTTTTTGTCGCTTCCGGGCCTTCTGAAGGCCCTGATTTCGAATATGAAGTCGAGAATCCCAAAAACCCCTATTTTGGAGAAAGCGGGACGGGTGGAAGTGCAGTTTGCAGGGCTGCGGCGCGGTTATCGCCCGGCGTATATCAGCGCCGCAGCCCCCAAAGCTGCAAAATGGGCGGAGTGACCACCTCTGGATCACGTACCACGTAACTTCCAGAGCGGATTTCTCGCTCCGGAAACAATCTTTTGCGGGGAAACTTGGGGGTTGGCCTAGTGTGGGGGCCCACATTAGCATGCCATTGAATCTCGTGAACCCTCACTTTGGGTGGACGGTGCCTTTAAGTTATTCACACTATGCATGTGCAGTTTGCTAGTGTTGAATCTGTAGACTTCTGGCGAAGTGCCAAATCGCGTCGCGACTGAAATCGCGTGTAGTATGCCCGGCCCTTTAGATGACACAACAGGAGGCGCATTGACCACCGAATGTGGGATATGTACCTTTATCTCTTTTTATAGCAACCATGTGACTTGACCTCATCAAAACCTACAGAGGGATTGATATGGCGCGAGTTATTAGTTACCGCAAGGCACTCTTCCTTCCGGTTCATTTTTGGACTCTTGGCGCTTATCCAGAAGGCCTCCAAAGTTTTGCGCGCCAACAGTTCGGGCTCATAGATCAGTATCTTGACTCCAACATGTACCTCGGCACTTTCATGTGCTTAATGCCATGATTACCTAAGGGTGTTGATGTTTTACAACCCGTCCAGCTGTTCCTTGATGCTTGAGCAGAGGGGGCGGCCCGTTTCTCCTATATATGTCTCATCACATGATAAACATGTGATGAGGTACACTGCTCCCGAGATATTATCTTTATACTTCACTTGCCTCAAGTTTTTTTTCCCTTCAGGATATTCCGATGAGCCACAACATTACATAATATTAGCTTGATGCACAAATAAGGGCTGTTTTGAGGATTTTCAATTTGAAGTGTGATAAACTATATAGAGCATGAAAAAAGTCTCAATGATAGCCTCACTTGTATCAAAAAAGAAATGATGATGGAAAATTTGTCCCAAAAAGAGGCTTGAAAAAACGGCCATTTTTCTGCATCAACCTAACATCATTTCATGCGCAACTTTCACAGTGGGCCACAGCTAAGTTCCAAGAATCCTCTGTGAAAGATAACACCCGAAAAACTCCGGGATGAGAGGAAAAAGAGGTGACAGAACTAGAACAAGAAGCCATAACAGAAGAAAATTGACAGATATTCAATTCTGGAGAAGGATAATCAAGGCGGAAAAATCCTCGCAGAAAATGTTTCCTGCATTGCCTTGAAGGTGTCTTATACACACTCCTTAAAAATGCTGAAGAATCCACCCTCTCCCTAGTTGCTTTCCAACATTATTATTGCCTCCTAAACGGATACCATTCCTTTTACTATGGCATCACTGGGACTCAAAATTGGGTGTTGCAAAAAGAAACTTTGCGAACGTGACCTAAGAACAAAATCAAATTTATTGTAGGCACTCTCTAAAGTTCTGTTTACCTTGTGCTGCAGATTTTCGTGCAGGCGATTGCTTGCAGAAGCATTTTCATCAAATGTTGGCTGACCATAAAACACTTATATCAGTGAGTAACTAATGCGTAGAATAATGAAAATACTCCTAGTTTTAGTCTGATTTTTTTACCGCAGCAACTCCACAGATATCATTTTTGAAAATACCCTGCTTATCTTTCATCCACAAAGTTCCGTAGAGTATTTATGAACTTGCTTCCGCACCTTCCTTGATAGTCACATAGACTACAGAATAATCGGAAAATTTTTAGAAAATTTACAACCAAGAAATTTCGGGGAGAAGACCGTGAAGAGGCGGAATTCTCCGCCTAGTCAACACTAGTTTAGTGTTATGCGAGTGTGTAGAAAATATGGATGGCTCATTAAACGTTCAAAGTAACCCTTTCAGTTTGACGGCTTTGCTAGAGAAGTAACCAAATATCTCAGAATTTGCTATTAATTGCAATTCCATGGCTTTGGATCTTCAACATTTTTGTTTTAATTCGATTTCAAGAGAATATGACTGAACAACAATGTATTTGATGTATTTTTTTCCGGAATTTCAAATACATCTAGGACACTATAAAACTTCAAAGTAAAAGTTGATGTCCATCCGTCAATAAAAACCGCGCCTCTTGACACACCGGAATTTCCTTAGACTCATGATGACACAGATGTTACTTCTATGTGTTTTTGACAAACAGATTTGGACTATTTCCCAACTGAATTCTCACTTTTGATCTGATAATGGTATTGAGAATTTACTTCGAAAATCGTAAAACTACCAACCCATAGTTGTGTGAAATTTTATTCGATAATTGAAAAACTTGAATTCAACAGATAGGTGTTAATAGTTGCAACTAAAATAGCAAATCTTGTATAAGCGGAATAGAAACTATGGTATGGATTTGAGACGCAGGAACAGACTGTTTTAGGTGCTATATTATGCGTTGTCGATCTGCACATTGGGTATTTTTCGACTACTTCTGCACTGGAAGCCGGACTGGTACATCAAGGTGAGAGCGACGCGATGCGCCCACGACGTCGCACAGTACATAAATGTGATGTGAGAAACTGCCTGAAACAATTCTACAGCATCCGATTCTGGCGATTTTCAGCGACGAGCACAATGTCGAGGCATTTCGACCTGTTCGCGTACACACCAAGGAAAACGGGGCATCGCCTACTCTTCCAAAGGTAGGGGGTTTTGCTATGGTATTTCATGACTAAAGAGTCAATTTGCGCGACATTATGCTGTAGCCACCATGCAAGGGCTACTTCTCACAAGGGAACGATCTCAGCTTCAGATGGCGAAGTGGAATGAACCGCATATCATCAAAAGCGTCTTGATGAGCTGATTTCGAATCTTCCTTCCCTATCTGCGATGCGGTTCTCCGGAAAAAGTTGCGAATGTTCAGATGTCCAAAGTTGGCAAATATTCAGCGCTGCAAGAATTAGTTGTTGAAAAATCGAATTTCAAAGCACATCATGCATCAAAACCTTAACAGCTTCACACTTTTGATCGCTCGTAACTCCCTTCTAAAAATCGCATCGCAGGAAGGTATATTTGGAAATAGCTCATCAAGACGCATATAACGTTATGCGATTATGCGTTTCATTCCGATTCGCCACATTAATTTGGGATCGTTCTCTTGTAAACTAACCAATAAGCTCCTCGAATAAGGTATGGGCTGGTGTTTGGGACTGAATCTCTCAACCACGAATACCTTAGAGCTGCCGCTCCAATCAATTCGCTCAAAAACCTTAGTACTCTTACTTGCTCATCCACTCCCTTTGAGATTGCGTACAAAGTTGCTTGTGCTAGCACCCCAGCTGCTCAGAGCAGGACACCACTTAGGCGCTGTCACTGCGCTAGCACGGCGTTGGCACGCGAATAGTCTGGACGCATTCTGCGCAAAAGCCTGTGTGACGCGTGCGATTTTGAGTGAAAGTATAAAAAGCACTTGCATTTCTACAAGCTTTCTAAGCTATTAAATTTTCTAGGGTGATGGGACCATGAAGAAAGTCGACTACATTCGTTACTTTACTTTTCGAAAGCTGAAGTATATCTGGAAAACTGAAGTGGACGAATGGGTGTCATCTGCAGATCTCGACAGCCATGTAAGTGTGCTTTTTTATACGCTTCTGATTACCATATCGTATTTTAGATCCCTATCAAACATTTTCAATCAGTGCTCGAATCCGGGACGGGACTTACAGAAGACGAAGTTCAATGCAGACGGGTAACTTATGGATCGAATTTGATAGATGTCAAGCTGAAACCGATTCTAGTACTTATTTTCATAGAAGCTATCTCTCCTTTCTATATATTCCAAGTTTTTAGGTATTTTCATAGTCTACCTTTCATTTCAGCCATGAGATCAACTTCAATTGCGCATTTTCAGTGTTTCAATTTGGTTCTCAGATAAATACGAGTACTATGCTTCTATTATTGTTATCATGTCTGTCATGTCCATTGCTATTGATGTCTACCAAACAAGGTTGGTTTCTGAATATTGTCGACTTTCATTCTTCTTTTGATAAACTATTTGCAGGAGTCAAGAAAAGAAGTTACGTTCTATGGTGCAATCCTCAAACGAGGTAGACGTTTTAAGAGCCGATGGAGTGAAAACCATCAACAGCGAAGAGGTGAAAAAGTTTTTGGCAATTACATTTTTTTTATTATCAAGTTTGTTATCTTCAATCAAATTTACTGATTTTGTCTAATCCTCTCCGGTTTTTGCTGGGGTTCTCGCATAAAAGGACCTTGTACTTGGTCAAACTCCTTCAGAAGATTTATTTATGCCGAAATTTACTCTTAGTCTGCGTAGACGGTTGCCTCAGCTCCAAACTAGAGCCGTGCCAGCGCCTTCGATCGATTAAATGGGGGTGCATCATCGTGGGCGCTGGCATGGCTCTAACATGACGCTGGCACGCGGATAACTCTGACGCATCCTTAGCTTTCAAGGATGTTCTCCGCACTCAAACCTTTTTAACCTAATAAACATTATCTTTTGAGGTGGAGCAATCTCAATATTCCAGTTAGTCCCCGGTGATGTATTTCTGGTTCCTGCTCATGGTGGCCTAATGCAATGTGATGCTGTACTAATGAATGGAACCGCGATCGTGAACGAAAGTATGTTAACAGGAGAATCGGTTCCGATCACGAAGGTAAACTGTCCGATACTCTTCACAAGCCAAGAGCAGACTTTGACAATATTTCCCCTAAGACCTGAACCTGTGACGACCTCCTCAGGTAGCGTTGACTGGAGCCCAAGATGACGACGAGGATGAGTGTTTCTCATTTGAAAAACATTCCAAACATATCCTGTATTGTGGAACACTCATACTTCAAACGAGATACTATCATGGAAAGCAAGTCAAGGTTTGTTTCTACAAAAGATTAGAGGGGTTGCTACCGTATCTTAGCCATTCGAGATGAGCATACATGGATTTTGAAAGTTAATTCAAAATTATTTTCATTATGATATATGCCAAAAATTCTGTAACATTTTTCTTCACAATTTTCTGCGAAATTTGAACAAATTTGAAGTCAGCGCATATTCAACACTTCCATGACAACAAGAACCACCTGGATCTATGATGTGATACTTAACATTCCAAAAAATTTTACGATTATCTGATACAAAATTGGAGACATATAAGCGAGGCTTCACTTAGCATGGTCCGATACGGAAATGCTGTACAGCAAGGCTACGGTAGGTGTACGGTAGATTAGGTTTGAGCACAAAAAAACTCACCTTCGATGAAGGGTGCGATTGTGGAAATTGTATGCGCGTACTTTGATCAGGTGAAGATATAAGGATTGCGTGCTAAGCCATCCGAAATAAGATCGATTTGATCAATTTGTCAATTTTGGAACCCCTAGCTGATTTTCTGTTTGCAACGTGTTCAAGAGCATAATAACTTCGTTTGGTCTTCATTGTTTAGTGACCAATTTTTGATTTTTGAGATAACTCACTGTAACCCTACCTAAACAAATCAGCCGTAACATTCGCAATTCGCATATGAATTCATAGCAAAATACAAGGTTTCCTTATAAAAATTCGCGGTCATGGATTTGCCGCTTAACTATCATAGCCCTCCCGTACGGTTCATACGATAAATATTGCTGTCGTTACGCATCAGCATAGACAAGTTTTTTACGCAAAATTCTAAGCACATCTTCGTCATTTTTTTCTAATCACTACTATGGAGAAAAAAGGTTTGGTCATGTATGTGTCAATTCTACAACTGCATGCAAAATGGTCTTGCATAAAAATAATATGTGATCATTCAAATGGCTAAAAAACATCTCCTCCAAAATATGGCTGTGCATATGTGCTTTAGTTTTTGCAAATTTAGGCAGTCGTGCTTCGAACAGCATATTCAACTTTAAAGGGACAACTTGTCAGGTCTATCATGTATCCCAAGCCGATCGACTTTCGTTTCACCAAAGATCTCTTCCGGGTAAGGTTGCTATGATTCCATTTCGGAAAACTCCTGATACCCCGCCCCCTTCTAGTAAAACAGGCTGCCTTCATATATTCAACCTTGATAGATATTAGAACTTTTTTCTTACAATTTTTTGAAATGCTGTCTCCTCAAAATTCTTCTAGATAAAATAACTGAAAGATCTTTTCTCAAATCTTTAGCATATTCTTCCGCTTCAATATCAGATTGTAGCGCAAAATACATTTACCTTTCCTTACCTCTTCAACGTTCGTTGTGACTTTTCACAGATAGGAAACAGATAATCAAAATTCTATTGTAAATTGCTTGTAACATGCGAAAGCAATAGTTTCTCGGTGATTTTCATACACAAACGTGTAAAAACTATGTCTAGTAATGTTGCGTCAATGGATTTTGAAACAGCGAGTATCACTACAACCACCCTACCTCATTTCCAAAAAGCGAATGCTTTCGTAAATCCCAAGTTTTCGAAGGTTTTCCTTGAATCTTCCATGCTCCAGAATGTGCTCAACAGCGCATTATGAGAGTGAGAGTGTGAGGAAAACCTTTTATTTTTATAGAAGTACATATTATCTAAAATAATTTGTTTACCTCATCCTTTAATCGCGATCTTGAATTTGAGAAAGACTGATTTTCTTCAATAGGCACCGAACATTCGTTCTTTGCATAGTAATGCGCGTTGGCATACTTTCATTCTCCACTTTCACGTTGCTGCAATTTGTTTGTCTCAGTTTATGCGACATTATAATAAACTTCTTCAGGCTTAGCCTTTAGAACTTACCGTATTTTTTCCAGTTTGTCGCCTTCTTGTTCTTCATTGCTCTCTTTGGCTTTGCCTACACGATTGCAATAATGGCGCAGCGAGGAGAATCATTGCACAGAATAATAGTGCGATCACTTGACATTATAACCATAGTCGTACCTCCAGCCTTGCCAGGTAAATGCAAAATTTCAATTTAAAAGTGCTTTAAGAATTTTTGATTATCTCCTAATTCAGCGGCAATGTCGGTCGGCATCATCAACTCCAATCTGAGGCTTAGGAAGAAAGAAATATACTGTATATCCCCTTCTACCATAAACACATGTGGTGCAATCAACGTGGTGAGTTCTTATTTGTTTTGCTGAGCTCAAAATGAGTGGAACACTGCCAATTACAGTGTTGTTTTGACAAGACCGGGACTTTGACCGAGGATGGGCTTGACTTCCAAACCCTTCGAGCTGTCGATCCCAGCTTCGAAGAAACGCCTGTTTTTACAGAGGTTAGTTTTTCAGAATGCTGACTATTATTACTATTTTGGTGGATAATTTGCCACTGCCACTCAAATAGGACCTTTTCAAGTTTCAGTTTATTTGGCTTGAATCAGTTTCGACACCGCGCACTGAAAAAGAATTCTCTCAAGTTCTGAATTGTATCATATTCTTCAATTCTCATTTTTGAGACGCTAGAAGCATGAGATTTTCACCATTATACAATTTTCACCATTATGCAGTGTCGGTACATTCTAGAAACTTTAGGTAGATAAAAATCGCAAGGAGAGCCAGAGAAGAAATTCAAAAAACAAAATTTGGTATGCTTACAGAAGTGTCGTAAACTGCTGGCTACATACGTGTACATTTGCCATCAATCATATTTAGCTCGACCTATTTAAGATTTCCAATATTTTGCAGAATCTTAAAGGAAAAGTGAAACAAAAATCATCTCTGCCAAGCTAATGAGTTTTTGGCTCGTTGATGCAAATCTTTTTCAGGAGAAAGCAGTAATGGATCCCGCAGATTTGCCAAGTGAAGGCGAACTTATCACAGCAATAGCAACATGCCATTCCCTTACAAAGTAGGTAGTATTGAAAGTGAAGTTGGTGGAAATATCATATTTTTCCCAGAATCAATGGAGAATTGCATGGAGATCCACTAGATCTGATCCTCTTCAACCAGACGGGCTGGGCATTGGTTGAGTCTGTGAATGACGAAGAAGACAGTGAATTGCAGCTTTTTGACAATATCCAAGTAGGAATTTATTTACATTCAAAGCTCAGCGTCTATTTGCCTGTAGTATGAGTACGTCCCAGAGAAGTCCCAGCAGGTGCAGCCGCGGCGCATGCCTTTCGCTCCTTTGCGCGCTTTGGTCCCTCAAACGCGTCATAGGCAACGATTGGCTGCGTTGCGTACGCACATACATCATTAGAGATACCGCATACGAGTAGGGGTCATATGTCACTGGACGGGGTGAGGCAGGGGGCACATTACAGACATTACAGATTTGTACCAGCTATTCGAGACGGGAAAGCCTTTCGGCAATATATGGTCCTCTTCTCCGCATATACGCTTCTATGTATAAATTATGTCTGTTTACTTTTCATTCATGAACAAGTTATGACAACGCGCTCTCTTCATATTGAAACGATCCCGAGTGAAAATGCATATCTAGCTTTTTCGTATAGAATGAATTCAGCTTATTTACAGCAAAAAACGGATGATATGGAAACGAAGTCGGTAAGTGTATGCGCACATAAAGCATTTGGTTATAAGACCTTGCGCAACAAGGTAAAAACAAAAAGCCATGAACATCCACCTTCCTCACACAATTTTCTCAGTTATGCAAACTTATAAATATGTACTCTTGACTATAGGACATGATCCACAGCCAGTACCACAGCCAAACATCACATCCTGTCCGCATTGCACTGTAGATATGGCAAGCTTTTCGTCTTCTAATTTTTACGTTTCCTTTCTCTTCTGTCCAATCATCATTAGCTAGAATTGCTTTGGAAAAAAGTCGCTTTCACAAGGAGGCCCAGGAATTTTGGAGGCATTTCGAACTGAGCGTACCTTCATACTGCGCCCGCAGTTGCCGCTAATCGCCCGTGGCCGCTTCTGCGCACTATCACAGGCCTTTTCATGGCCAAGAAAAAACCATATCATTGGGTTTATTTCATTGCACAAGTAGAGACTTCGTTTGCATGTTTTTCTGTGTCTGTTACAGTTAACATCTCAAGTTTTCATTCAGCCAACAGTGGTGCGACCGCCTGCTCAACTGGAAGGTTCCGGCTTCATCAAAGAATACAGCATTATACGACAGTTTACTTTCAGGCAAGTGTTTGATATTTGAAGCTCTGCACTCACTTTCCTTCTGAGCACTGCATCTTCACTTCGACAACAATGAGTCGATAATACTAACATATAGTGATCAAAGTGCTAGGAACGCGAACCATCGTAGGTGGAGCGCAGTAGTGAAGAGTATACTATGAAGAACAGATTGTTTTCACTTTGATAAGCTAATTGTTTTGGATTCTCATTTGCAGTTGAGTGGGCAATTGTACCATTAGCAGAAAAGCGTTCTCAACTGTAAAAATCCTATAGAATTCTGCGTCGTTATAATGATACTGTGGATTTGCGCGTAGAAGCTAAAACCTTGAAAGATTTGAGTCCAAGAAAAATAAGTTTAAGATGCTCCTTGTGAATTGAATTTCTTGCGTCACTCAAAAAGTCTTCTTACAAGAATAACGCATTCTCAATCCGATGTGATTTAGTTCATCCCTCCAACGAATGTCTGTGATAGTGTCGAATCCTCGAGATGACTCCGCTCACGACATGACTCTGTACTGTAAGGGCTCCCCGGAGATGATACTGTCTCTCTGTGATCCAGCTACGGTCCCCTCGAATTATACGGTAACCTATGTTGCTGTCTAAGATGCATACGATTAGTTTAATTGCAGAACCAAGTAGATCTATATGCACAGCATGGCTATCGTCTAATCTCTATCGCCAAAAGAAAGCTTGAAATGAATTATGTCAAGGCCTCGAAAATTTCTCGAAACTTGGTACCTCATATTTTCCAGCTCGCTTCTACAAAAAAAAAACTTTCTCTGTTTCAGGTAGAGACTGAGCTGACACTTCTGGGTCTCATCGTTCTCGAGAACAGGGTAAAGCCTGTAACCTTAGGAGTGATCAATCAGTTGAACCGGTATGTTGCTTGACATTATCCAAGCATGTTTATGGCTTAGATCAGAGAAACCAAAGGCGTAAATCTGAGAAAACCCTGGGCTAAAGCAGGCCGGAGAGAACATGTCATTGAAGAATTTGAGTAATTGAAGGGAATGGCTAGATTCGTCATCCTCCTCGTGAGTATGGAAATATGAAGTTGTTTGCTTGCGGGGTTTTATCAGTCTAAATTCAAAATCAAACTTCTATGTTGGCTTTCAGCACTTCAATGAAACGCCTATGGCGCAGTCTCTATCTAAATCATGCTGCAATAATCTCATAGCATCGTAAATTTTCTGGTCAATTTTCCATGTAGCTGCTGCGTTATCAATAATATTGAGCATTATGCATCGAGCCTGGCTTTTTTTAGTGGAGACGATGTTAAAAAATAGGCTGCAAAGCAAACAAAATAAATTTGTGAGAAAAAAGACCAGTTGGAAGAGCTATCTCCTTGGGTAAAAAGTATATTTCTGTTCTTTGTCTCTAAAGCTTCCTATTTCCAGAGCTCACATCCGTACAGTTATGGTCACAGGGGACAACCTTCTGACGGCTCAGAGTGTGGCACGAGAATGTGGCATCATAAGACCGAATAAACTGGCATTTCTTGTAGAGCATCGCAACGATGTTGTCGATGTTAAGGGACGTCCACTGCTCACCTTGAGGCAGGTAAGCGGAAAAAAATATTTTCTTAGTAATCTAATGAAGATTTCTGACAGTACGCCTATTCCAGGCAGTGTCAAGCTCTGAGAAAACAGCGGACGGTGAAAATGAAGCAGAATCAGATGTGTCTGTTGAGACAGCACGAAGGCATTATCTCGAAAGCTGCTATCAACTGTCAATCTCTGGTAAGTTTGTTCTTCATGGAATAAACAGAATTCAACTGTTTTGCTGTTCTAGGTCCAACATTTGCTGTCATTACGCACAGTTATCCAGAATTGCTTGACCAGCTAGTGTCTGTTTGTGACGTGTTTGCGAGGATGGCTCCTGACCAGAAACAGCAGCTAATAAACCATCTTCAAGGAGTAAGTTTCGTAGCCATACATACGGGATAACTCAAGAAATGTGCGCACTGCCTGATCGCCAGTTTCTTCTGCGCTGATGTCTTTCGCACCTGCCAGGGCACTGTTTTGAAGTAGTGGCTCAATTCTACGTAGTTTACAGTGAGTAACTTCTCGCTCTTAGCCTTGTACATTCATGGAAAATCCTAAGCGGAGGCGTTACCAATATGGTTCAAAGACTTTGAAAAAAGTTGGAATTTTTGCCAGATACTATATTATGGTAATTCATCCGAAATACAAATTCGTACTCTACCATGATTGTTCGGAAGCTATGTACTTGACAGCAGCTTTTGTGATGCAAACGTGCAAAGGTCCCTTAGAGAACGACCGATCAAAGACCCATTACAAGTGTTTTGCGATTTTCTAGGAATTCTTTTGAGAAAAGATAAAAATTCATAAAATCGTTGTGACGGTGACGTTGAGAGTACGATAATTACAGTGTGATGAAAAGCAGCTTTTGATCATCTCACTTTGGGTTAACTTTGTAGTCTACCTTCAGTACAACACTCGCTTGGGCTGCGCTAGAGTTCCCATTGTGCCAGCGCCGTGCCAGCGACCAAGTGGACGCGCCTCTTGCCCATCGGTAGCACGGAATTGGCACGGCGAATCAGCGCTGGCAAGGACAGCTCTAGACGCAGACTCAAGACGAGTGAAATATTGGGACGAGAGAGTTACTGACGGCCAGATAATGAGTATTTTTTGAATCTTTATCTATTACACTGGAAGTGCACCAAATAAAATATGAGTATACTTTTTTGGTGCTCCCTGTATATTTGCAATTTCGTGCAAAGCTATAAACTTCTAGATTGACTACACTGTCGCTATGTGCGGCGACGGGGCGAATGATTGTGCAGCGTTAAAAGCTGCTCATGCTGGAATCTCTCTTTCGGATGCAGAAGCTTCTATAGCAGCTCCATTCACCTCTAGGGTAGGTAATTTTTACTGGCTATATCCCAATCTGTAAGGATTTTCCTGCAGATCGCTGACATTCGCTGCGTTCCCACAGTGATCCGAGAAGGTCGGGCAGCTCTTGTGACGTCATTTGGAGTGTTCAAGTACATGGCTGGTTACTCATTGACACAGTTCTCCTCCATCATGCTGCTATACTGGATTTCCACAAATCTAACAGACTTCCAGGTTTGTAGCTTTCGAGTTACTTGTGAACAAGTTACTAAGGTAGGATCAGGGCTCGCCATGAGTTGCCTTCCCGAAATTGCAAGGAACGAAGTCCCCTCTCTTCACTGTGAAAGTACGACATGCGTCATGAGATATCAGAGGAGAAAACGCGTGACAATGAGCGGGACAAAGCAAAACAAAAAACGCCAAAGAAGCATTAAACAAACGCGATGATATTCGTATTCGCCGGATTAGCGGCATGATTCAGCGCGCAGCACTACGCGCCTGAGCGGCGTTGCCGCCGCCATCCAAAATTTTCAGGAAGTTGTAACTAAGTGGGACAATTTGTAGGGTTTGGAATGTAGATGGAATTTGTGTAAAGAAGGTAGAAAAATTATTGAGGGAGGGAAATTTTATGACTTTTTCTTTCCCAAGCGATCTCAGGTGGCTTGAAAGCCACCTAACTCTGAAAGAAGCTGAGCATCCTACAATTCACGCAATTTTTCCATAATTTTTCATACATAGTTCTCACTCCTCGTTGCCCATCTACACACCAATTTTGGTGTCATTTCATTGTCACTTCGCTGTAAACAAGCCCTTTGTTTGTTTGGGAGAGCAGGCCGCCGGATGCCGGCAGTGTGCCGACGGCACGCGGATCCCATATCGAAAAACTGCGGTATGCTATTCGGTAAAAACGATATCCCCTTTGCTTTTTCTCCCAAAAAGCATATACAGCCTGCTTGATAAGCCACTTGTGCGTGTACCCTGGGTAGGATGCTGTAAAGAATGCGACTACGCATCGCTTTGAACTGAGAAGTTTCGGAGCAAAAGTTTTTATCAATGCTCGAAATTGAATTCGTTGTTTTGGTCGTGTTCGCACTGCCGCATCCTAATCAGATTCGCTCATGAATACTCTTCATTTTACCGTTCAGACAAACAGGAAATTCGAAAAAAAGCTTTGTAGGAAGTGAATAAGAATGTTTTAGTTTCTCTACATCGACTTGTTTCTCATCACCTTAGTGGCTGTTTTCTTCGGAAACACTCCAGCAAGTGATCAGCTCAGTTCAACACCTCCTCCAACCAGGTTGCTTTCTCTAGCAAGTGTAATCTCAGTCTGTGGACAGCTCGCAATTATGGCAGTGACTCAGGTGGGTCTTTTTCCGGGAATTTTGCCAGCTTTCCTTCATAGCAGAGTTTTTCAGTTATTCGTTTTCATATGGGTCACTTGGCAGCCATGGTTTGTTCCTTATGCGGTTCCAGCTGGGGATGAGGAGGAGGATAAAAGAAGCATGCAGGTGAGACCTATCAGTCCGTCAGACTTTTCCATTTTTCTCAAAATGCATGATATTTTGTCATCTACGCAAGTATATGTCGTTTTGTCAGGGTACCGCCTTATTTTGCACGACAACGCTTCAATACATCACTTTGGCGCTGATTAACAGCAAAGGTGAACCATACAGAAAAGCTATATTCTTCAACCTACCTCTTTGTCTCACTTTGGTGGTCGTGACTTTGGTAGGTCTTGGTACGAGAGTTTTGATGCTTTTTGGTGCTGCATGTGAAGAAAATTGTTTTTTCATGTGTCACTGTTCGTTGTGTTGGTGCCACCGCGATTCGTCATCTCATTTCTGCAGTACGATCCGATTCCATACTTTGAGAATCGCCTTTTCCTCGTTTTTGTGGCTCTGATCTGTGCTGTGGTTTCGTACCTTTTCCAGTATGCTGTTGTGGAGTTTCTGATACTGGAACTGAGAGAGAAGTAAGGAGATGCGAGAGATAATGAAAGTGCTGCGTTTTGTCGTGCACACTTTCTTACAATTTCAATGCAGAGTTTTTCTCTCAAACACATCCCTCGGGAAATCATTGTTTAGGTGGCTGAGACATCGCCGCATCCGCGATCCTCAAGCGAACCATGAAAAATTCGAACGCCTCCTCTTCGACATCGGACAGGAACCGGCCTGGCTCCGCGCCTACACAAAACCACAGCAAGCTGAGAACGGCAAGGGCAGTTGGGCCGTCGTGGACCAAACCACACGGGTTTAGCGCTCCGCAATCATTTTCACTTTTATTTATTCGGAGTATCTCCTCAATGTCCGTCAAAAACAGCTTTCACTTCTAGTTTCTGTCACTTTCCACCTTCCTTTCGCGTTGACCATAATACGGGTGATTTTGTATTTTCGCTTTCATGCCGGCCCTAAATCCATCTAATTCGTTTACTTTCACTTTTCTTCTTCGCGTTGTTCGCTTTCCCCGTTCAGCTTTACTTGGTCTTCTACTTCAGCCCTCACTTGCCGCCAGTGCAGCATTTCTTATTGTCGTGGGTCTAGGTGCTGTTGGTCAGTGATGTACATGTCTCACTTTTTTTTGTTCCACACATTGTTTTTCGCAGAACGCAGTCTTTATTCTGATAAAGATTTATCTCTATCCACCCTAAGTCATTACAAATGAATGAATTTCAACCAGAATTATTAAAAAGAGTCCTTTGAGGACTTTGACATAGCACAAAGCGTTTTGTTTTGTGCCTCTGTAATCCGATACCATAAGCGAAAGTAAAGGGAGCAGAGTGATTGGAAGGGGGAGGTGTCATGTGCATAAATTTCAGCTGTGCAGGTTGCTTGTATTCATAGGTGCGATGGGGTGAGCAAATGCTCACCCCCCCTTCACTTTCGAGGCCGGGCTACCCCCCCCCCCCCCCCCTTCACCTGGGACTGAGGAAAAAAAAATTTCAGGTGAGGAAGTAGTGCATGCGAAAATAAAAACTTATGTGATATAAAAAATACAATTTCAGGGAAATTATGGAACGCAGAATTTAATGAACATAGTTGCGACAGAACAATACATGGACAATGGTCAATAGCAAATATTCAACAGCTTATGGCGCTGATGGACAGCTTATTTGGCATTTACACCTGTAGATAATGTGCTATGATTGTGATTTATTGTCGCAAATAAATTTATTGCGGTATATGGAGTGCAATAAACGAATTAAATGTTTAATTGTGCCGTTTGAAGCATTATAATTGTTGTAGTAATGAGATTAGTGTAGTTTGAGTCAAAGCAGTCTTTAACTGAGCTTTTCCATACAAGATGCAGAAAAAAATGGATCCTGAAGTGAATTTTTTGTCAATTAGGTTGCAAAAAAAATTAGGAAATTCAAAGTGTAATCATTGTTGCACATGAGTATGAACCTGGAAGATAACCGTCTAGGAGGATTGCACTCATGAAGAGCTTCCGATTGATATGTAGTATGCTGGCCTGGAACGACGTCGCCATGGAATCATCACTTTGCTAAAATTTAAAAAATCAAGATTTTCAAAATTATGTAACTCTTGTAAACAACACTGTATGTCGATGGGAAGGGTGTATATGGATTGCACTCATCAAGGGCTTCCGATTGATATGTAGTATGCTGGCCTGGAACGACGTCGCTATGGAATCATCAGACTGCTGAAATGTAAAAAGTTGGATGAATTAAGGTTTTCAAAATTAAATAACTCTTGAAAATGATAACGAGTCTCGATGGGAAGGGTGTCTGTGGAATGTACTCATTATAAGCTTTCGATTGGTAAACAAGAAGTTGGCATGAATGGAGTTCTTTATAGAAAAATCGTGCCTCAAAAAGACAAAATATCACGGTGCAAAAAATCGATTTTTTAAAAATAACTTTTGTATAAGTGAATGAATTAGGAAGGGAAGGGTGTAGGCGAACTGTACTCCTCAAGAGCTTTCGATTGATATATAATACATGGGGGGTTCATGCTGCTGGACTTCGGGAACAGGGGGTGAGCAAATTTGGCCGAAATGCTCACCTACAAGCGGCGAGATAATGATATAAGGTGAGGAGAGCTGAGCATTTCGGCCAAATTTGCTCACCCCCTGTTCCCGAGGTTCAGCAGCATGGACCCCCCATGTATTATATATCAATCGAAAGCTCTTGAGGAGTACAGTTCGCCTACACCCTTCCCTTCCTAATTCATTCACTTATACAAAAGTTATTTTTAAAAAATCGATTTTTTGCACCGTGATATTTTGTCTTTTTGAGGCACGATTTTTCTATAAAGAACTCCATTCATGCCAACTTCTTGTATACCAATCGAAAGCTTATAATGAGTACATTCCACAGACACCCTTCCCATCGAGACTCGTTATCATTTTCAAGAGTTATTTAATTTTGAAAACCTTAATTCATCCAACTTTTTACATTTCAGCAGACTGATGATTCCATAGCGACGTCGTTCCAGGCCAGCATACTACATATCAATCGGAAGCTCTTGATGAGTGCAATCCATATACACCCTTCCCATCGACATACAGTGTTGTTTACAAGAGTTACATAATTTTGAAAATCTTGATTTTTTAAATTTTAGCAAAGTGATGATTCCATGGCGACGTCGTTCCAGGCCAGCATACTACATATCAATCGGAAGCTCTTCATGAGTGCAATCCTCCTAGACGGTTATCTTCCAGGTTCATACTCATGTGCAACAATGATTACACTTTGAATTTCCTAATTTTTTTTGCAACCTAATTGACAAAAAATTCACTTCAGGATCCATTTTTTTCTGCATCTTGTATGGAAAAGCTCAGTTAAAGACTGCTTTGACTCAAACTACACTAATCTCATTACTACAACAATTATAATGCTTCAAACGGCACAATTAAACATTTAATTCGTTTATTGCACTCCATATACCGCAATAAATTTATTTGCGACAATAAATCACAATCATAGCACATTATCTACAGGTGTAAATGCCAAATAAGCTGTCCATCAGCGCCATAAGCTGTTGAATATTTGCTATTGACCATTGTCCATGTATTGTTCTGTCGCAACTATGTTCATTAAATTCTGCGTTCCATAATTTCCCTGAAATTGTATTTTTTATATCACATAAGTTTAAATTAAAGTTTAAATTACAAAATTATATGAAAAATAAACTAAAAATACAATATATCTTTACTATAATATAATATATACAAATAAAAAAAATACAAAAATCAAATTATGCAATCTCAGCAGAAATTATGTATACAAAATTCTATTAATTACAGAAATTATTAAAAAAATTTTTTGGAAGAAAATTCCCCCCCCCCGGTCGACGTCTTAAATTTTTACAATTCTCCCCCCCCCCCCCCGGTCGACACCCTTCACTTTTGGGGGTCAAAATCAGCTGGGACACCCTTCACTTTGGAAAGACCCTGCTCACCCCATCGCACCTATGCTTGTATTCAATTACAAAGTGGCTGATCACACAGATTTCTTAAAAAATTCGCAAAGCTACATATGTTAATAATGGTCATCATGTTCTGGAAATCGTAATGCTAAGCTAACTAAAAACCAGCCATTATTTGTTCGTTAGGTCATTTTCGATGAACGGCATTCTCAAGCACTCTTTCAGAAAGAATTTTCCCACTTCCAAAAATATCGAGTTTGGCAAAATTCACTGATGAGCTTGTTTGTTCAAATTTCTATAATATTTTTTTTGTATTTGTACTAGCTCGCTTGCTACCAGTAGCACTTTTCCCCGTATGAAGTGCTCATTTATATGCATATCAGCTAAATAATAATCAAGCTGGTAATAAATTTCGAAAATTCTTTGGAATTTTTCGGACCTGTTTAACTACCACATAAATTTCCTTTGAATAATGTCCTGTCCATACAGCTTGATGCATAAAGTGTATCTCGTGCAAATTGGATGCTATAGTCAGTTTGTCTAGGGGGTTTTCATCGAAGTAACACTGAGACAATGGAAGTTGAACCAAGGAGTTCGGGTGATTCATGTAAAATTTTGAATGCATGAAGTCGTCTGCCAAGTCCTTTACGATGTCAAAATGCTTCGCCAAAAGCGACAGCTCATTGAATGCTTGAAAATGACTGAAGTGAACACTTAACCCATTGACGACGACGCCTAATTTTGCGCGGGGGCGCTGTGGCACGACGCGACTTTGCAGAACACTTTCAGTGTGAGAAGGTTTTGTGCTTATCTGCTAAATGCAACGCTGTTTTGTAAACAACTATTAACATTTTTTTGAGCGACAGAGCCTACAGGTCCCAAGAATACAAAAAATTGGAAAAAATATTGATATGTGGAAAAAATACTAGATTTGCAAATAATACGACTTTGCAAGTGTGGGCCACTGGGGGTCCACATCGTCCCTGGCAGCAAAAAGCGCGTAGGCCACCGGTGGTCCACATCGTCGTCAATGGGTTAAGCAGTCTCGTGTGAGGAAGAATAATGGCGTGCAAAGATATTGATTGATATATGAATCATGCTTTATTGGAGGTAAGTTAGAGGTAGAATTAGAGTCAATCGTCGCTACATAAAACGCATAGTTCTTACGAAAGGCAGAAGGATTAAAGTCAACTCACTGAGCTAACAATATGGCATTTCTCGAGAAATTTCAGTAGTTTTATTAGGTTGGCTAGTAAATAATTTCGGTCGCTTTCGCGGCTCCTACGGATGCTGCGGACAAATTTTTTGTCAAGTGTTCGGTGTTTCTACAAAGAGCACTTCGCTGAGAATTGGAATGTATTAGTTTGGCCTGAAAGTTCTTTCGCACCAAATTTAAAAATTCATAACTTCTGATTTTTCCATTTCTAACTGTGCAAAGTTTGCGCCGATTGAACGTCTCTATGAAAACTTATGATTTTCGAGCAAGCAATACAAAAGGGCGATTTTGATTTATTTTGGCGTTTTTCAGGAAAATCTTAACTTTCATAGAAACGCTCAATCCGCGCAAACTTAGCGCCGTTAAGAGCTGGTGAAAGAACCTACAATACTGACTGCTCCGATATTTGTTGCAAGTTTCCGATTTTTTATGACCGTACACGAAAAATTCGAATTTTGACCAATTTTCTTCTATCGCTTCTATCTATGCAACAGATGATCATTAGTAGGCATCTGAGATGTCATTATAAAGAGCATGACTTACTCTTCAATACAAAAATAAAAGCAGTCCAATCGGTTGGAAAAATCAGAAGTTATGAATTTTTAGATTTGGTGCGAAAGAACTTTCGGGCCAACCTAATAAATACTGTTTGGTAAAAATCTATCTCTCTATGGAAAAAAGGCGCAAAGAAGTAACAGACTTCAGTTTTCTTGCTGTGTGGGAGAACTTCGTTTTTTCAACCAAAGAATATTAAAATGGCAGATCACAAATTCAATTGTTATTCGCTAAACAGAAAAATCTTGGCTGTATTCAAATACTAACTTCTCTCTAACCATAGTGCGGCAAACTATCCTTTATCGACGCAAGAAAGCTAAATCTTGTAGAGTTCTTCATTGAAAAACCAGCTCATTTATAAGAAAGCAAGAAGAAATATTAGGTTGGCGGCAAAACTATCCTTCATCGACATTAGAAAATTTCTAAGTAATTGATATGTGATAGTAGAAGCTCTGAACTTCTTCCCCTCAGCAAGTCAAGGTAAA